AACTTCATTCCTAAAAAGTGCTGACCCAGAGATAAGAAGCAAGCACGTGGTTGGTAAAATGACGTCAGTGAGCTTGCTTTATGCAGGGTTGCCCCAAACTTTCAATTTGTAAAACTCACAATATCTGGAAAGCTCGGTGAGGTGAGGCGGGACTGTAACCCAGCCCCCGTCGCAGGGTGAGACCCTCAGGACAGGGGGCACTACACTGAACAACGCAGTGAACAGCCCCCTGGTGAGAGTGGGCTTCTTGGCAGATGACGCCAGCAGCTGACAAACAGGCAAGGCAGGCCGGGCGTGGTGGCTCCCACTTGTTATCCCAGCACTTTGGGAGGCCAAGGCAAGTGGATCACGAGGTCAAGAGATCGAGACCATCCTGGCCAACATAGTGAAACCCCGTCTTTATTAAAAATACAAAAATTAGCTGGGTGTGGTGGTGCACACCTGTAGTCCCAGCTACTCAGGAGGCTGAGGCAGGAGAATCACTTGAACCGGGAAGGCTGAGGTTGCGGTGAGCCAAGATTGTGCTACTGCACTCTAGCCTGGCAACAGAGCGAGACTCTATCTCAAAAAAAAAAAAAAAAACCAGCATGGCAGGGACGCCAGCAGGGCATGTGCTGAGGAGACAGGCGCCAACGGCAGAGGTGCAGGGCGGCCTCTTAACTGCAGTCCGGGAGGCCTCTGAGGGGAGAGGGCTCCTGGTAGACACCAGGGGTGGGGATGAGCAGTGACGGGGCCCTGGGGGCTGGGATGTGACAGCGCAGCGCAGCAGTGTCTGCTGGCCCCTCCCACAGGCCATCACCATTGAGGCTGAGCCAAGAGCTGATGGCAGCCGCCGGACCACCCGCTATGACATCGACATGACCAAGTGTATCTACTGCGGCTTCTGCCAGGAGGCCTGCCCCGTGGATGCCATTGTCGAGGTGCGTGAGGCCCCTGGGTGGGAGGGGCGGGGCGCTGAGGCTCCTCAGCGGGGCCTAACCGTTGTCCCTGCACCCCACCTGCAGGGCCCCAACTTTGAGTTCTCCACGGAGACGCATGAGGAGCTGCTGTACAACAAGGAGAAGCTGCTCAACAATGGGGACAAGTGGGAGGCTGAGATTGCCGCCAACATCCAGGCTGACTACCTGTACCGGTGACGCCCCACCGGCCCACAACCCCTGCTGCCCAATAAAATACTGCTCCAACCCCACGGCCTCTTGTCTTGACTCTGGTGTCCAGGGTGGGGCCATCCCCAGCCTGCCTGAGGCCTATGGTGCCTCCAGCTGGACTAGGTAGCCCCCTAGTCTTTCTGCTGTCTGCGGTCCTGCTGCCCCAGCCCTGCCTTCCCGTGGACTCCAGGGCCCCAGCAGGCCCTCATGGCTGGGCCACAGGCTGCAGCATCACGATCACCCTGCCTCTTCCTGGTGTCTTCCCCGAGGCCCAGCAATGCCAGAGGTCACCACAGTCCTGTCGTTCCCACAGTCCCAGCTGTCCTGGCTGGGGCCTGGGCCTCCTGTCTCCCAAGAGCCATCCACTTCTAAGACCCTTAGGACTTGGAGCATCCCAAGGCCTCAGGCTGAAGAACAGCAAGCGGCAGAAACTCCGGCCGGGGCATCCTTGCGGGGGGTAGGAGGAAGCCTGCTTGGGGTGACAGTCATGCGAGGGTGACACAGGCCCTGCTGGCCCTGAGCTGGCCTTGCCTCCAGCCACATCCTCTTTCTTCCCCATGTTCCCCAGGCCAGGCTGCTCGTCCGGCAGCTACTCACCACTTCCTGCTTTGCAGGCCCAGCAATGTGGTGGGGTCCCCCCAGGGTCACACACAAGCCCCTTGCCCACATAATGGCCAAAAGCAGCCCACTTTAACTTGTGCTAAGCACTGTGGAAGGATTTCACTTCATCTGCAGTGAGGAAACCAGCTCCGAGAGGTGAAGAGGCTTGCTCAGGGCCATGGAGCACACATCCCATAATAAAACTCAGTTCACAGACCTTGAACCCCCGTCCTCCATCATTTCCAAAAGTGCTTTTTACAAAGCACTACTTCGTAAAAACCTACTTCAAAATAACAAGTTTCCTCGCCCAGTGAGTTTGGGAAATGCTCCAGCTGCTGTCCACCTGCTGGCAAGTATGGCGTGGTAGACATTCAAGGCTCTGAGAAGGCCTGCAGCAAAAAAACCAGCCTCTCCCAGCCCATTTCCAGGAAGCCTTTTCTCAGGTCTAACACCTGGGCCTCCTTCCTAGGCCAGGCATTGCCATCTCATGCCCAAGTGGCCGGGCCCCTGCTTGGGCCCCACAGCCTGTGGCACTGGGGCGAGAAGTAACTGCAGGAGTCGAGGGGAACCCTGGAGTCCAGAAAGTGTCCACAGGTCCGGTTCACAGCTCATCTTGGCCACTGATGAAAACAGGCGCTGTTTCCAAAAACCAGGCAGGCGTAGGACTCCTGAATCCCTGCATGTTTAGCTGTTTCCAGACATAACCGCTGTTAGAGCGCGGCGTGGAGCCTGTAGCTGCACACGGAGCACTTCTATTCCAAGCGGGTCAGACTTTCCAGCTCACCGATGGTTCTCTCCCTTAACCATGGCCTCCCGGGCACTGCTCTGCTGAGATCGCACCAGAGCTGTCTGGTTGTGTCAGGCCCTGCCCCTGTCAGAACAGGCCTATGACCCCCAACAAGTCCCCCAATTTTCTGAGGAACCACAGCTGAGCTTGGTTGTGACTCAGTTTCCAGGCCCGGCTCTGGGGCTCCATTTGTCCACCCCTGCCGCAGCCCCTCAGGCCTCTGCTCACTGTGTGGGGCTTAGGCATTGCCAGAGCCGAAGGGCCCCTGGCCTCCAGTGGGAATGCCCCAGGCCTGGTCAAAGTGCAGGCAGCTGGATGGCCGTGAGTCCCAGCTTCCAGGCGCTAGGACCTGATGATGCCCATGGTGCTGACCTGGAGCAAGGTCACAGTGACAACCCCGGCTGTGGCTGCCGGTGGAGCTGACAGCTGGCCTCTGCCCCAGGGTATCTCCCAGGGCCTGCTGGGTGCGGGGCCCTGGGCAGAACAAGGCAGCATGGCCTGGCCCTGTGTCCTGCTGCCAGTGAAGCAGGCCCGGAGTGGGGCAGCCATCCACCCAAGGGCCAGCGCGGGGCCTCTCCCGGTGGTCAAGAGCAGGAAGGTGTAAGCACCGCCTTTCACTGCCGCGCACCCAAGGGAGGGGTCCCGAAGGTGGGAGAGCATCCTGGGGACCCCAGGCCCATGAGCCTGCGAATGTTGGGGTCCCATCAGCCAGAGGCACACAAGCCTCAAAGTAAGAGGAGAGCAGGGTGTCATCCCCTATCCTGAGCTGGGCCTGAGCGGAGCTGCCCCTGCATCAGGGCCAGCACAGACGCGTGCGGTTGGCACTGGTCCGTTATACGCTCCGTTCTCCAGGTCTCCTCTCCGGGATTAAGCGCCCCACTGAGGACCCATCCGCGAGGCCACAGCCTGGGCTCAGCCTCCCCCAGGCTTCCCGGACTCCGGTGGAGGCTTGGGCCGGGGGCGGGGCGTCCCTGGCCCCTCCCCGTCGCCCCGCCTGCCCGGAAAGGAGTGAGCGGCGCCGGGCCCCGGGCGGGCGGGAACGCAGCTCTGAATACGGCCCGGCGTGCGCGGAGTGGGGCAGCCAGCAGCAGAGCCGCGGCGCGCAGCCCACCCGGGTGAGTGACCCCGCTGGGGTCTGCGGAGCCCCAGCTCTGCCTGCCCACCCTCTTCCCCTGCCCCGGGGTGGGGATCTCGGCGCCCCACCCAGTTGGCTCCATGAATGTAGCTCAACCCGCCACCCCGCCGGGTGTCAGGCCTTGGGGGGGACACGGAGGATCGCCAAGGGAGGAGGAGAAGGATGGGGTGTTGGCCAACAGAGCCCAGCGTTCCTGGGCCTGGTGTGCGCGGAGCTTTCCCCACTGCATTCTTCCTGGGAGGGAGGGACCCATTCTACGGATGGGGAAGCTGAGGCCGCCCAGCTAGGAAGTGTCAGAGCTGGAGACCAGCTGGGTTTTTCACTCCAGAGCCGACCCCATTTGGAATGGAGGGGCCGCCAGACCCTCTCCTACTGCCTTCCCGTCATCCGTAGGGGAGGGCAGGGGTGCAGAGAGGCCTGGTGGGTTCCTGGAGGAGCCTTATGAGGGTGCCAGGAAAGGGGCACAGGGTGAGGAGTGGGCTGGAGACTAGACCCCAGGGCTGCAGGATGGAGGCATATTCATTTACACCATAAAAGTGGTTGGGTGACCCCTGGCTAGAGTGGGGATCAAGGGGGATAGCGGTAGGGGATGAGCCAGTGGGGCCTCACATGCCAGGCGCGGGGGTTGATCATGTCCCCACACCCCTCCCCCTGCCCATTATAGGTTGTTCCCCCACCCCCTGGGAAGTGCTGGAAGGAGCCGAGCCATTGGCATAGTGGCTGCGGGAGCCCTGATGGCCCTGAGCCAGGGGTGCCCCCTCCCCGGATCCCCAGAGCTGACTCCCCACACCCCCTTATTTGGCCAGCACAGCCCCAGAGGGAGCCAGGTCAGACTGCAGCCCTCTTCCGAGCTCACCCTTTGTGCTGGGCACGTAATGTTGGACTTTACCTCGCCAAGTGTCAGTGGAGTCCTATATAAAACAAAGGTCCAGCGCCCCCTCCCCCAGGATTTCTCCCCCCAGAGATTAGTGTGAGGTCTTGTGGATGAAGGGATTCAGTCGGGGCTCTGGTTATTTTTGTCACCTCCCTAGATCCTGTCTCTGTCAGGGGTGCCACGTCCCATTCACCCAAAGAGGAAGTAGAGGCCCAGAGAGGGTGAGAGACTTGCCCAAGGTCACACAGCCAATCTCAGCCTGGGCCCCAAGTCCCTTTGCCCTGTGGCTGGGCCTGGTCCTTAGGGATGGAACCCAGCCCCCCGCTGCCCGCTGCCCGGCCCGCTTGCAGCCTTGGGCCGTTCACTCAGTGTTCCCTCGTTCCCTCCTTCTCTCCTTTCCCAGGCTGGGGCTGGGGCTGTGGTTCCCTATTTAGAGTTAAGTAAACCAGACCCAGGGCAGGAAGTGACTGGCTGGGCAGGCCCTGGCCAGCCCAGCAGCAGGCGGGGCCCTGACCAGGCCTGTCCCCTCCCCTTAATTTTCGAGCTGAGGAACTGAGTCCCACAGAGGGGCGCTGGGCCCTGAGAGCAGTGGCTTTGGAGCTGGAGGGGCCCCAGCATCCACAGGGCCAGGGTGGGTTGGAGGTAGCCTGGCACCCGCCCTCAGCCTGCATCAGCCTTGAGCAAGGCCCCGGGCCCTTCCCCGCCATTCTGCAGTTTCACTTTTGTTGGTTTCAACACCTGGTAGGCTGCGGCTGCTGCCAGGCGGCCCGGGCCTCAGGGGACGCCCCCCTCCCAGCAGCGGTGCTCCCTGGCCAGTCCCAGGGTACCCCGTGGAGATGCCCACCCCCGCCCCTCAGCACATGCAGCCCCACAGGGAGCAGGGAGGGCTCCAGCCACCCCCGGGGCAGCCCCGGGCCTAAGTGCCTGGGCCAGTGGGATCCTGTCTAGGGTGAGGGCAGCCTGAGAGGGGGAGGCCAGATGAAGGTGGGGGTGGAGCCGGTGTCATTGGGAGATGCTGGAGGTAGGGGCGGGGGTCCCTGTGGGCAGAGCAAGCCAGGAGAGAGCTTGAGGTCGGCCCGAGAGTGGGCTTTGGGGTCTCCCAGTCCCACTGCTTACTTCCTGCGTGACCTCAGCACCACACCAAGCCTGCCCAGGCCTCAGTTTCCACCTCTGTCAGATGGGGGTGGTAGCAGCAGCTTCCAGGATTCGGTGAGTGAAGGTGCGCAGATGCCCGTGGTTGGGAACTGTCTGTGGTCCGCCCCTGACTGGCCCCCATCCGTGTCCACCCACAGGACCATGGGCTCCATGTTCCGGAGCGAGGAGGTGGCCCTGGTCCAGCTCTTTCTGCCCACAGCTGCCGCCTACACCTGCGTGAGTCGGCTGGGCGAGCTAGGCCTCGTGGAGTTCAGAGACGTGAGTCGGGTGGGCAGGCGTGGGAAGGGGGCTACTGCCGAGGTTAGCCCGAAGGCCGGTGCGGGATGGGGACCACCCCCCCATAGGGCCCTGGCCCCGTTTGAACCCCAGTGGCCCCTGCCATGGGCGCTGCTCATGGGAAGCCCGTGGCTGAGGCCCCTGAGTGGGCTCCTCCCCACGCCGTCCCGGGGTGTGGGGTCTGGTCTGTGCTCTGATCAGCCTCTTGTGGCTCCCAGGGCGCTCAGCACCTTTCTGGAGGAGGCAGCTGAGGCCTGAGGAGAGTCAGGCCTGGGCTCTAGGCTGAGAAGCTCCCTGACCCCGTTCCTGAGACACTGACCCCTCCGTGTGGCACCCACAGCTCAACGCCTCGGTGAGCGCCTTCCAGAGACGCTTTGTGGTTGATGTTCGGCGCTGCGAGGAGCTGGAGAAGACCTTCAGTGAGTTGGTCCCAGGCGTACATTCCAGGCAGGCTTCCTGGAGGAGGCATGGGCCAAGTTTGATCTGAAAGGAAGAGTCTGGGTTTGCCAGGTGGAAGGCAGAGAAAGGAGGTACAGAGCAGGGCCCTGCATGGCCAAGACAGAGCAGCTGAGATCTGTGAAGTGTGCTTGGGAAGGTGGCTGCCTTGTGTGGGCTGAGCAGAGGGCCTAGGGCAGGGCTGGCTGGGGAGGCCTTGAATGCAGCGTAAGAGCCCAGGACTTCGTCCTGTGGGCACCGGGGAGCCACAGGGATTTCTAAGCAGGGAAGAGGCACAGACAGAGCTTTCTCCTCCGCAGCTGGGCTGGGGTGGGTGGGCCCAGGATCTAGGGTTGGGTGCCCCCGAGGAGCATGCAAAAGGGACCCCTGCCCTGGGCAGCCGCTCTCAGGAAGAGCCTGAGGGGCACCAAGGCAGGGGCATGGAGCAGGCTGGGTTTTGTGTTTGCTGTTGCAGTTTATAGCTTTTCAACAATCACGCCAGCTCCCGTCCCAAACCCTGCAGCACGAGGGCCAGCCTGTGGGGAGACCTCAGGCCCTCTGCTGAGCAGTGGGGAGGGAGAGCAAGCCCAGACCTGAGCTCAGAGGAAGGGGAGCACAGCTTCTGGATGGAGATTTGGCCAGGATTTTCCGGCCGCCTCTGCCTGGTGAATCCAGCAGCTGGTGACCGATGGAGTTTGGGGCAGCAGGTGGGGTCCTCAGCTGTTGAGACAACGTCGACTGCACCCCACTCCCGTTCCTCTGCGCCCAGCCTTCCTGCAGGAGGAGGTGCGGCGGGCTGGGCTGGTCCTGCCCCCGCCTGAGGGGAGGCTGCCAGCACCCCCACCCCGGGACCTGTTGCGCATCCAGGAGGAGACAGAGCGCCTGGCCCAGGAGTTGCGGGATGTGCGGGGCAACCAGCAGGCCCTGCGGGCCCAGCTGCACCAGCTGCAGCTTCATGCCGCCGTGCTGGGCCAGGGCCATGGACCTCAGGTCAGCTCCAGCCCAAGCAGGAGACTGGGAGGCTGGGGAGGGGCTGTCCGGCCCAGGGCTCATGGTGCTTCTGGGCTCCTAGCTGGCAGCCGCCCACACAGATGGGACCTCAGAGAGGATGCCCCTGCTACAGGCTCCCGGGGGGCCGCACCAGGACCTGAGGGTCAAGTGAGTGAGGGTTGACCTCTTGTCCTTTCTGGCCAGCCCAGAACCCCTGGCCAGTTGCTGGGCTGGGCCAGGCTGAGCTCCAACTCCTTGTCCAGTGCTCTCCCCTCTGTTCCTGCTCTCAGGCTGCCCCCACCTCCTCCTTCAGGCCTGGAACTTCCCACAGTCCCAAACCCTGGCCCTGAGGGGGGTCCTCCTCTTCTGGCCCTGCCCAGGAGGCCTCCTGCCTTCCGCTGTGGGCAGGGCCAGTGGGCCCAATTGCCCGATTACCCATGCTGGTCAGGGTCCTGCCCCGAGGGCCTGGTTGGGGAGGCAGGGCGGGAGGTTGGAGCAGCCCTACCCAGCCCCGTGGCCGCCAGCTTTGTGGCAGGTGCCGTGGAGCCCCACAAGGCCCCTGCCCTAGAGCGCCTGCTCTGGAGGGCCTGCCGCGGCTTCCTCATCGCCAGCTTCAGGGAGCTGGAGCAGCCGCTGGAGCACCCCGTGACGGTGAGCAGCTGGCCCCTGGGCTGGGGGTCCTGGGCAGAGCGAGACTCCAGAATCAACTGAGCCTGCTCTGCAGGGCGAGCCAGCCATGTGGATGACCTTCCTCATCTCCTACTGGGGGGAGCAGATTGGACAGAAGATCCGCAAGATCACGGACTGGTGAGTCACCGGGAACACCCGCCCCACCACCCCGCTCCGCAGGCCCCTGCTGTCACCTCCCAGCCTGCCCTGTCACGACTCCTCCCCATGAACTCCCTTCAGACTCAGAGTCTCATAGCAGGGACCCTCAGGCCCCTCACGCAGCACAACCTTCCTCCAGCTTCCACTGCCACGTCTTCCCGTTTCTGGAGCAGGAGGAGGCCCGCCGCGGAGCCCTGCGGCAGCTACAGCAGCAGAGCCAGGAGCTGCAGGAGGTGGGTGCCCTGGCCTGGCCTCCCAGAGGTGGGTACAGGAGGTGGGTGCCCTGGCCTGGCCTCCCAGAGGTGGGTGCAGGAGGTGGGTGCCCTGGCTTGGCCTCCCAGAGGTGGGTGCAGGAGGTGGGTGCTCCCAGCCCAGCCACCCCACCTGCCTGCCCAGCGCCCGCTGACTGCCCACTCTGGTGCAGGTCCTGGGGGAGACAGAGCGGTTCCTGAGCCAGGTGCTGGGCCGGGTGCTGCAGCTGCTACCGCCGGGGCAGGTGCAGGTCCACAAGATGAAGGCTGTGTACCTGGCCCTGAACCAGTGCAGTGTGAGCACCACGCACAAGTGCCTCATTGCCGAGGCCTGGTGCTCCGTGAGAGACCTGCCTGCCCTGCAGGAGGCCCTGCGGGACAGCTCGGTGAGCACGAAGCCTGAGACTTCACCCCCTCCACCCTGAGACTTCACCGCCTCCACCCGCCCCTCCTACCAGGCCGGGGCATTTCTGCCTCACTTCCAGCCCGCGGCTGCCTGCGCCTGGGCTTTGCCCAGGGGCTCCTTCTCCTCCCAGCCTCCTCCACGGCCCACCTCTTCCAGGGAGTCTACCCTGTTGGCCCTGGCCCAACAAGCCCTACCCTGACTTTCCTGAGTCCCTGGAGGCTGACGGGGTAGTTTTAGTCAGAAGCCTCATTTCAGTTCAGGCCCCGCTGTGACCTTAGGCCTGCTTATGGTCTGTGGAACTGGTGAGATGCCCCTGCCCCCGGGGGTCACCCGCCGCATGCAGCAGGTGCTTGTGCGTGAGGCTGGGCTCCTTCTCCTGGGCCGTCCCTAGGAGGCAGCACACTTGCCTTTCCCAAGCCATTGCCAGTCCATGTGGTGTCTTTGGGCCCCCACCAGGGCATAGCAGGGCCGATCATCTCACTTCAGAGAGAGGGGAAGGGGCTGCTCAGTGAGCCCCCACAGGGCTCTGCATCTCCAGCTGGGCCTGGCTGGGGGTCCCAGGGTCCCTGAAGGCCCCTGCCACTGGTCTGGTCTGTCTCTGTCCTGGCGTCCAGACGGAGGAGGGAGTGAGCGCCGTGGCTCACCGCATCCCCTGCCGGGACATGCCCCCCACGCTCATCCGCACCAACCGCTTCACAGCCAGCTTCCAGGGCATCGTGGACGCCTACGGCGTGGGCCGCTACCAGGAGGTCAACCCCGGTGAGAGCCACGGCACCCTTACCCGTGTCCTGGGAGGCTCAGCTGCCCCACTGGATGGGTGTGAGCCTGAGGGGGAGGTATCTCCATCCTGGGCCCGGCCTGCCCTCCTGGGATGAGGAGCACGCATCCCGTCACTCTCGAGAGGCTGTTGGGCTCTGCAGCCAGTGTGAGGCTTTATGTCGGCTCCCAGCCAACTCCCCCGTGTTGAGTTTACAAGGGAGCCGCATGGGCTTGTGCCAAGAACAGAGGTTGTGCGGTGGACATGGCCCAGGTTGGAAGCCCATCTCGCCTACTTTGATATGTTTCTTAGCTTCTCTGAGCCTCAGCTGCCTCACCTGCAAAATGGAAATAATAGCGCAAACCTCAGAGGAATGTCAGGAAGCTTAGTGACCCCTGGAGACTGCAAGCAAGAGCCAGGGGGCAGCCTGTGGTGTGGTTGGTTTGGTCACACGGTTTTGTTTGTTTGTTTGTTTGTTTTTTGAGATGGAGTCTCGTTCTGTCGCCCAGGCTGGAGTGCAGTGGTGTGATCTCGGCTCACTGCAACCTCTGCTTCCCAGGTTCAAGCCATTCTCCTGCCTCAGCCTCCCGAGTAGCTGGGACTACAGGTGCCCATCGCCACGTCCAACTAATTTTTGTTCTTTTAGTGGAGACGGGGTTTCGCCATGTTGGCCAGACTGTCTCGAACTCCTGACCTCAAGTGATCCGCCCACCTCAGCCTCCCAAAGTGCTGGGATTACAGGCGTGAGCCACCACTCCTGGCTACACAGTGTTTTTTGGTTTTTTGTTTTGTTTTTTTCCCTGAGATGGAGTCTCGCTCTGTCGCCCAGGCTGGGGTTTGGTGGCATGATCTCGGCTCACTGCAATCTCCGCCTCCCGGGTTCCAGTGATTCACCTGCCTCAGCCTCCAGAGTAGTTGGGCAGGCGCGCGCCACCACGCCCGGCTAATTTTTGTATTTTTGGTAGAGATGGGCTTTCACCGTGTTGACCAGGCTGGTCACACACTCCTGACCTCGTGATCCGCCCACCTCAGCCTCCCAAAGTGCTGGGATTACAGGTGTGAGCCACCACACCTGGCCCTACACAGTGTTTTTATGGAAGTTTGCATTAATGCAGTCTTGGGTCAAGCTGTCCCTGAGACGGACATTCTGGAGTAAGCGGTGGGTTAAGGGAGGTGCTCCCAGTAGAAACCAGTAAGGGATGAGGGCAGGGGTTGGGGGAGCTCTAGTGCTTTCCTTCCACCTCCTTCTCCTCCCCATTGGGAGTCCTGAGGCCTGCAGTGCCTGCTCTGTCGTCCAGCTGTGTCCTCCCGCTCAGGATGCCACTCCCCAACACAGTGGGCCAGCTGCAGTGTGGCTGGTGCTGTCAGATGAGTGGAGGGGCCCAGTATCCCCCAGTGCCACCATGGGGGCCCGGACCATAGCGTGGGTGTGACGTGGTGGAGCCCCTATTGGGAGGGGACTTGGACACAGGCCAGGGAGGGGCCCTGCCTCACCCAGTGGGCAAGAGTCAGGGTGCTTGGGCCCCCATGGTGGTACAGGCAGGGCGTGAGTCTGAGGCTCTGTGAACCAAGACCAGGGCTGTGTGGTCCTGGGAGGCTTGCTCCTCCTGCAGGGCCGGGATCCTGGGGCTGGAGCTGGGCCCCACTCGGATTCCCCTGCACATGGACAGAGGCTGGTGCCGCTAGAGCATCGCCCAGAGGCCCATGGTGGATACAATGCTGCCAGCTCAAAGCACCAGCCTTTGGGGCAACGTGTTTGCCAGGGAAGCTGTAACAAAGTGTCACAGGCTGGTGGCTTAAGGGGCAGACACGGCCCCATAGTCCTGGAGGCTAGAAGTCCAAGACCAAGGTGTCAGCAGGGGCCGGGCACACTGGCTCATGCCTGTAATCTCAGCACTTTGGGAGGCTGTGGTGGAAGGAGGATCGCTGGAGTCCTGGAGTCCAGGAGTTCGAGACCAGCCTGGGCAACATAGCGAGACCTTGTATCTTAAAAAAATAAAAGATAATGAGGTGTTGTCGGCAGGAGTGGCTCCTTCTGAGACTGTCCAGGAGGATCCCTTCCTGGCCTTTCTCCTGGGCTTGGAGCGGCCGTCCTCATCTTCACATGCTGTTCTCCTTCCATGTGGGTCCAAATGTTCCTTTTCATAAGGACACTGGGCACACTGGATTAGGGCCCACTGTAATGGCCTTATCTTAACCCAGTGACCTCTGTAAGGACCCTGTCTCCAAAGAAGGTCACATCCAGAGTTCCTGGGGGTTGGAACTCCAGTATATCTTTTTTGGGGTCACAATACAGCCCCTGACAGGGTGTGCATGTTGGGGTCCTCCTGCCTCCCATGAGGACTTGTTCCCGTTTTACTGATGGGAAGTCGAGATTTCAGAGCTGGAGCGACCAGCTCGGCCTCCTGGAACTTGCCATGTGCCAGTTGGGGCCACCTGTGGCTCCCTGTCCTCTCTGGCTTCTGTGTGGGGCTCTGGGGACAGCAACAGCTGAAACTGCTCCAGGCCTTATGAAGTGGCCTGGTGTTACCTCCATTTTACAGATGGGGAAATGGAGGCTCAGAGAGGTTAAGTGACCGGGCCTAGGTCACACAGCTCCTAAGTGGTGGGTTCTTTTTTTTTTTTTTGGAGACAGAATCTCACTCTGTCGCCCAGGCTGGAGTACAGTGGCGTGAGCTTGGCTCACTACAACCTCTGCCTCCCAGGTTCAAATGATTCTCCTGCCTCAGCCTCCTGAGTAGCTGGGATTATGGGCACCTGCCACCATGCCCAGCCAATTTTTCTGTTTTTAGTAGAGACAGGGTTTCACCATGTTGGCCAGGCTGGTCTCGAACTCCTGACCTCAGGTGATCCCCCCCCACCGTCTCGGCCTCCCAGAGTACTGGGATTATAGGCGTGAGCCACCGTGCCCGGCTGCTAAGTGGTGGGTTCTTGACTGCAAGCCAGCAGGGCCTCTGTGGCATCTTGGGCCGGGGGACGGATGCTGGTGTGTTTGGGGGTTCCCAGCTCACCCACCATGCCCTCTGCCCACAGCTCCCTACACCATCATCACCTTCCCCTTCCTGTTTGCTGTGATGTTTGGGGATGTGGGCCACGGGCTTCTTATGTTCCTCTTCGCCCTGGCCATGGTGCTTGCGGAGAACCGGCCGGCAGTGAAGGCCGCGCAGAATGAGGTGAGGGGCCGGGCTGGGGTCCTGATGAGGGTAGTGGGGCCAGGCAGCCCTTCACCACACTGCTGCCCCCCCAGATCTGGCAGACTTTCTTCAGGGGCCGCTACCTGCTCCTGCTCATGGGCCTGTTCTCCATCTACACCGGCTTCATCTACAACGAGTGCTTCAGTCGTGCCACCAGCATCTTCCCCTCAGGCTGGAGTGTGGCCGCCATGGCCAACCAGTCTGGCTGGAGGTGAGGCCCGGGCCCCAGCCTGGCCGGGGGCCCCGCAGCCCCCACAGCCCTGACCGCCCTGCCCTCCGTTGCCACAGTGATGCATTCCTGGCCCAGCACGCGATGCTTACCCTGGATCCCAATGTCACCGGTGTCTTCCTGGGACCCTACCCCTTTGGCATCGACCCTGTGAGTCCTGGGGTGGAGTGTCCGCGGGTGGCAAAGGCAGCTGGGAGTGGGGGCTGGGGCTCCCCTTGGTTCAGCCCTCCGGCAGTGCTGTCGCGGAGCACTCCTGTGTGCCAGGCCCTTTCCTCAGCACAAGAGGCAGACAAGGCTCCTGCCCCGCAGAGCCTGCATCACAGTCCCCTGAGTGTGCGAAGGCAAAGCCAGACTGGACAGGAACCAGTCTGTAGCTTGCACTGTGCTAAGCACTGTTCCCAACCCTCTGTGGAAGTGATTTTCTTTTTTTTTTTCGGGATGTGGAGTCTCATTCTGTCACCCAGGCTGGAGTGCAGTGGTGCGATCTTGGCTCACTGCAACCTCCATCTCCTGGGTTCAAGCGATTCCCCTGCCTCAGCCTCCTGAGTAGCTGGGATACAAGCACCTGCCACCATGCCTGGCTAATTTCTGTACTTTTAGTAGAGACAGGGTTTCACCATGTTGGCCAGGCTGGTCTCGAACTCCTGACCTCACGTGATCTACCTGCTTCAGCCTTTCAAAGTGCTGGGATTACAGGCGTGAGCCTCCGTGCCCGGCCTGATTTTCTGTTTGAACCTCATCACAACCCCGTGGGCCGCACGTTAGCCGTGTCCTCACCTAAAGAAGAGACTGAGGCACAGAGGCCATGCCCAAGGTCACCCAGGCTGGAGCCGTGGCAGCTGGCCCATCTGTGCTCTGTTGCCCCTCGGTGGGTGGGTGATGGATGAGGCTGCAGGCTCCGAGGGGGAAAGCAGGGTGATGAGAGAGAGGGACTCGGGCCGGAGACTTCCTGGCAGTGCTGGCCAGGGAGCCCCTGAGTCCAGCCTGCCCCTGCTGCCACCCTAGGTCTGGAGCCTGGCTGCCAACCACTTGAGCTTCCTCAACTCCTTCAAGATGAAGATGTCCGTCATCCTGGGGGTCGTGCACATGGCCTTCGGGGTGGTCCTTGGAATCTTCAACCACGTGTGAGGGCCAAAGCTGCCCGGGGGTGGGAGGCTGACAGGCCAGAGTGGGCCCCAGTGACCACGCCTCCCTCCTGCCTGCCAGGCACTTTGGCCAGAGGCACCGGCTGCTGCTGGAGACGCTGCCGGAGCTCACCTTCCTGCTGGGGCTCTTCGGTTACCTCGTCTTCCTAGTCATCTACAAGTGGCTGTGTGTGTCGGCTGCCAGCGCTGCCTCGGCCCCCAGCATCCTCATCCACTTCATCAACATGTTCCTCTTCTCCCACAGCCCCACCAACCGGCCACTCTACCCCCGGCAGGTGTGCTGTGGCTGGGGGGCCCAGCTCACACAGCCTCATGGGGATCCCACGGTCACTGGGCCACTGGGAGCTGCAGGATCCTCGTTCGAGAAATGGGGATGCGGGCCCCGGGCTGTGCAGACAGGGCCGTCAGAGGTGATGGTGTGCATCTTTAGCAGGTGGCACAAGTGGCACTGGGAACCTGGGGTCCCTTCCCTCAGGAGTCCTTATGGAGCCAAATCCTCACTCAGTGAGGGCACGGAGCCCCCGGGGGCCCTGAAGGGAGGAGCGGCCACAGGCTCTCTGGGCCCTGTGACTGCTGTGATCCAAGTTCCTGTGCAGGTGTGCACAGCAGGGTGCCCTGACTCTCGCCCTCTCCCTGGCAGGAGGTGGTCCAGGCCACGCTGGTGGTCCTGGCCTTGGCCATGGTGCCCATCCTGCTGCTTGGCACACCCCTGCACCTGCTGCGCCGCCACCGCCCCCACCTGAGGAGGAGGCCCGCTGGCCGACAGGTGGGACCGGGCCTAAGGTGTGGGGGGCTGCTTGGGAGGAGAGGCCACTGTCCGGTGTGTACCTGACTCCCCACTTCCTCGCAGGCTCCTAAGTGGCCAGGAGCAGGCCTGGTGGGTGGCGGGGGCCCTCCTGAGACTGGAGCACTGCCAACACTGCCTGCTCGTTCCCCAGGAGGAAGACAAGGCTGGGTTGCTGGACCTGCCTGATGCATCTGTGAATGGCTGGAGCTCCGATGAGGAAAAGGCAGGGGGCCTGGATGATGAAGAGGAGGCTGAGGTGGGTGCGGTGCCTTCCTGGGGGTGGGACGGGTGAGGCCCCGCTGGCCCTCACTGCACCCGCCCCGCAGCTCGTCCCCTCCGAGGTGCTCATGCACCAGGCCATCCACACCATCGAGTTCTGCCTGGGCTGCGTCTCCAACACCGCATCCTACCTGCGCCTGTGGGCCCTGAGCCTGGCCCACGCCCGTGAGTGACCTGGCCACCGACGGCCAGCCCCGGCTCCTGGCTTCTCACTTACGGCTGCTGGCTGGGCGGGTTTCTTTTCTCTGGGCCTCAGTTTCCCCTCTGTAAAGTGGGACTGTCCAAGGAGGTCCCTCGCTGGCTCCCCGTGCAGGGAGGGCTTCAGGCTGCGGCAGGTAGGTTGGGGGCTGGCAGGCCCCCACTTGCCGTTGGCCCCCACTGTCTCCTCCTTTGCTCGCAGAGCTGTCCGAGGTTCTGTGGGCCATGGTGATGAGCATAGGCCTGGGCCTGGGCCGGGAGGTTGGCGTGGCGGCTGTGGTGCTGGTCCCCATCTTTGCCGCCTTTGCTGTGATGACCGTGGCCATCCTGCTGGTGATGGAGGGGCTCTCGGCCTTCCTGCACGCCCTGCGGCTGCACTGGTGAGCCACCACCCTGTGGCCTGGGCTGCTCGAGGTGGGAGTTCCCCTCACCAACCCCTCCTCTTCTCACCCCCAGGGTGGAATTCCAGAACAAGTTCTACTCCGGCACAGGCTACAAGCTGAGTCCCTTCACCTTCACTGCCACAGATGACTAGGGCCCACTGCAGGTCCTGCCAGACCTCCGTCCTGACCTCTGAGGCAGGAGAGGAATAAAGAGGGTCCGCCCTGGGGAGTGATGTCTCGTCTCTCTTCCCTTCTTTCTAGCTGAGGCAGGTGGCGGGGTAGAAGGCATGGTGTAGGATCTGGGACCTCAAAAAGTCGAGGCCAGGACCTGCAGATCTGCAATGTCAGACTCTTGGGGTGAAAAGGGGCAGAGAAGGGCCAAGGAGGGATGTTTCCAGCACATTCTAACTTGGAGTGAGCAAATGCATTCCCAGGCCGGGTTAGGGGAGTGAGCTCCCTATCCTTGGAGGTGTGCAACTGGCTGTGAGCGGGTGTTTGGGTTACTCTCTGTTGGGAGTGGTGCCAATATCCATGCCCTGGTGCCGGGCCTCGGGGGGGGGCTGGAAGTACAGAGCAGTCTGGGGCACCTGAGTCCCGGTCCATGCTCCAGGCAGGGCTATGGTGTCACACGCCCAAGGCCACATGCCTGCCAGGAAGGGCAGAGGCTGTCCCGAGCAGCAGACATTACCCCGGGCCCCGGGGGTCAGAACAGGGGCTGAGCCTGACTCCAAGCCCAGCCTCCCCTCACTGAGGCCACAGTCTTCCTGACGCCTCCCCGGTGCTCCTTCCTGCGTTGCTGGCAGGACGGGATGGCTTTCTGCAGTCTCCCCTGGCCTGGGTCCCACCCCTGCTGGGAGGCAGAGCCAGTGCTTCCCAGAAGCCAACAAGCTGCAAAGTGGTTCTTCCCACGGCTGTGGCTGTGGCCAGCTGCTGGGAGGAGCCTGTCCATTGGCTCCTGGACTGCCTTGCTCAGGACCTCCGGATGCCAGGGGTGGTATCAGGGCCTCTGAGGTAATTCTACATGCCGAGCAGACTCAGCTTAGAGAAACGGTGTCATGGTGCTGGGCTAGGAACAGAGGAGGCTAAATGAAGGACTCCAGAGAGCTGCAGGTGGATCTGGACCAAATCCAGAACCCAACGCCTCACTCCCTCCTGGGGAGGGAGCTGGGCAGAGACTTGGGGCAGGCAGTGAGGTGGGGATAGGTGAGCAGCACTTGTGGCGACTGGCCCCAGTGTGATTTAGGAGGGGTGTGGTGTGGGATCCCAGGGAGATGACCAGTCAGCCCTGCCCTGGCTTTGACATGGGGGTACCTGGCAGTGGTGGCTACAGAAGTCCAGTTTGCCATGAGAATGGCACATAAAAAGGCACTGGGGTGGGCACCTCTGGGGCATGGAAGTCACTGGGAGACACAGGGATGGAGTGGGTCACCTGTATGGAAGACTCGGCAGTGAACAGCACAGGCCCGAGCCCATCCCTGTCCACGTGAGCTTATGGCCTGATGCAGAGACCACCAGGGGCTCCAGGAAAGTTAAGGTGCATGGAGAGAAACGATGGGCCAGGGCCAGGCCCAGGGTGGTTTAGGGAACGCCAGTGTCTTGGGTAGAATAGCAAGGCCAGAGATTGGAACTGAGCTGACAGCAGGGCAAAGTGAAGGAGCCCAGTATTGGAAGATCGGCTCCAAATGTATCTCTGCAAAGAGACTGCAAGTGAGCTCGTGTGTGAAGGACCAGGCAGAGGTGAGGGCTAAGTGAGGCCAGCAGTGGCCTGGGCACAGGAAGATGGTGAGTGAGAATCCACCAGAGCTCCTATGCAGGAGTGCAACACCACTGCTGTTTAATTCAGTTCGGCTTCACCTGTTTAAAACTGTAACTCTCTAGAAGGGTGAATAGTGAAAGCCTCCCTTCTGCCCCTGCCCAGCCACTCAGTGTCCCCAGGCACCAGCGCTGCTCCCAGTCTCCAATGTCCTCCAGGGCTCTTCATTTCTGGGCTAGAAGCAGGGAAACCAGAGTGTGACGGGAAAGAAGAGGAGGTGGAGGAAGGCTGATGGGGTCACACGCTGCTGGGATGCCAGCTGAGAGCAGTGGGGCACTGCTGAGCTGAGGGACTGGGTGGGTGCAGATGGAGCCCTCCATGGGCTCCTTCAGGTACCAGGAGCCCTCCCTGAGATTTAGGACACATCCAAGGGTGACAGCTTGAGGTTGGATTTTTATTATTTTATTTGTATAGTACAATCTCTGTGGTAGCAGAAATATATGCACAAAAAACAATTAAGAGTTCAGAGTAAAAAAAGTCAGCTAAGACTGTATCCCGTGGGACATTTCATATATATGGATTTCACAGCTACACTCAATCCACGCCGTTCACCACATAGAGGCTGCTATCTCCCACAAGAATGATGATGTCAGGGACATCGGGAAAGGTAAGGGCCGGGAAACTGAGCCCTCAGAGAACCCAGACCAGGGTTTCCCTCACCCTGCCCGGGGGCGGCCCAGCCCACTCAACAGGATCCCACACTTCAGGCAGAGCAGAGGGCAGGAGAGGCCCAAAGAGCTGGGTCAATCAGCTGGCTCCCCTGGGAGAGGAGCTGGGAGACAGGGAGGTCCTCACACTGCCCGGTGGCCACGCACGGCTGTCTGCACACTCCATCAGGAGGAAGGGCAGGGAGAAGTCACACACAGTACAGTGAAATTCATCAATGTCACACACCCAGCAGGAGGGGAGAGCTGTGCTCCACACGTAAGCGGCAGCAATCCACTGCTCCAGCTTCAGCCATGGGACCAAGAGGATACAGGAGCAGCTTCTGGGGGCCCCAGGCAGAAGCTACCTTGCAGTAGTGACTGGCGACTTCACAGTACATCTCTGCTCACTTGCCGTCCCTTGGGAATGAGCAGCGTCTATAACACATCGCCATCTACAAAAGCCTGGTCACAGTGTTCACCAGCACATTCATGAAAAAAAAAAAAATTAAATCAACATTAACCAAAGTACCTGCAAGTAACACTGCTTACTCTTGCTGTTTGCCCTTTCTGACTGGAAACCTTAGCCCTCAAATATGAAACGCCTTCTCTAGATTAAAAGGATTCAGAGATGTTGCACTATTGCACTATATTTCTGCTTCCCAATCTCGTTTCTGAGTCCTAGTGAAATTGTAAACAAGAGGTGAAATAAATGTCGCTCCATTTTAATACAGTCTTTAGTATCATAAACATCTGTATTCAGTAGTGAGCCACCCAAAGCCTCCTGCCACAGGAGCAGTAGTCGAAGCACAGAGGGGACCCCGCTCCGCCGCCTCCCCATGCAGTCCAGTGATGAGGTGGATGGAGTCCTCCCCACAGTCACACCCCAAGCTTCCTCTTCTGGTGGAAATAGGCATCAAACCTTGCTTGGGCGTAGTCCTAGGAGAGAGCAAAGAGAAGCAAGGAATCCTGCTGGCCTGACCCCTGCCCATGTGTCCCCCAAACCCCACCCCTGGCAAGAGCTGAGGGCACGGACCCATGAGACCAACAGCACAGGACTGGCCTGTGCAGCAGGGCTGCTCCGCAGGTGCAGGCTCCTGCAGCTCCTGGCCCACCCTGCACACCTTCATTCTCAGGAGGCCTGTTTACAGGCATGGGCCAGCCCAGCCCTGCCTCTCAGGATGGACGTCTCGTCCACACGCTTGGCACTGCTACCATTCATCACCTTGTTAACCTTGGGTGCTGTGGGCACTGGCTGACCGACATAACACACTTTTTAGAGCAAAAGGCCCCTGGGACATAGGCAAGTCTAGAATAGAAGGGGAGAAAAAAGAGGATGCCCGTTGCCTATTTCCTGGGATCTCCTGCAGCATGACTTTTAAGAAAGACACTGAGAGGCAAGGGAGAACACCTGGCTTGGTGTTCTGTTTCTGCCACTATATTTTTCTGGGTCTCTTCCCTCATCTGTCCATCAGTGAGGACAACACAATCTCAAAGACCCACTCCTAATCTAAAAGTCTGCAATTCTAGAAGCCAGGAAGATTACAATAACACTTTTTTGAAAAATTAACTCTGAGCTGTAATTTCTACTCTATAAGCATGAGCCCATTTTAAGTGTCCAGTTGGAGGGCTTTCACAGATGCATCCAGCCAGTTCTCCACCACCGCAGTCAGGAGGAGACCTGTGTTTCCAGCATCCCTACAAGCTCCCATGGGCCTCTTGCAGTTGGCCACAGGCAGCCACCGACTCAATTTTTGTCACTATGGATTGGACTTTTCTTTCCTAGAGTAGCACATAAATGCCACCATACAATATGCACCCTCGTGCCTAGCTTCTCAGTGTGATGTCTCTGAGTGGCCCATGCTGTCATGCATTCGTGCCACCTTCCTTTGCACTGCCAAGTGTTCTCAGTACACGGATCTGGCACTGTAGTATCCACGCACCTGCTGACTGGCATTGAGGCTGCTTCCAGTTTGGGACAATTACCAATGAAGCTGCAGGCCAGGCATGGTGGCTCACACCTGTAATCCCAACACTTTGGGAGGCCAAGGCCGGCAGATTACTTGAGGTCAGGAGTTCAAGACCAGCCTGGCCAATATGGAGAAACCCCCTCTACTAAAAATACAAAAATTAGCTGGGTGCAGTGGTGCACGCCTGTAATCCCAGCTACTCAAGAGGCTGATGCAGGAGAATGGCTTGAACCCAGGAGGCAGAGGTTGCAGTGAGGCAAGATTGGGCCACTGTACTCCTGCCTGGGCAACAGAGTGAGACTCTGTCTCAAAAACAAACAAACAAATGAAGTTGCTATGAGCGTTTGAGTGCAAGTCTTGGTGTGGAATCTGTTTTCATTTGTTCTGGAAAAATTCCCCAGGAGGGCTGCTGGGTAGTCTAACGCACGCATCTTCACACCGGCTGTCGCAGACTGCATTCCCAGCAGCAGTGCACGTGCATTCCCATTGCTCTATCTGCTCGCCAACATGTGAGACTGTCAGTTCTTTCAAGTTTCAGCCACCACTGTGGGTGTGTAGGGTATCGCAATAAGGCTTTGATTCATATTTCTTTAATGACTAATTATATGAAACACATGAAAAGATTCTTACTGGCCATGTGTTTCTCTTAAGTGTCCAAATCTTCTATCCATTTATAAAGCACGCTGAGACCGGGTGTGGTGGCTCACGCCTGTTTTCCCAGTACTTTGGGAGGCCAAGGCGGGCGGATCACCTGAGGTTAGAAGTTGGAGACCAGCCTGACCAACACAAAGAAACCCCGTCTCTACTAAAAATACAAAAACAAAATTAGCCGGGTGTGGTGGTGCATGCCTGTAATCCCAGCTACTCGGGAGGCTGAGGCAGGAGAATCATTTGAACCCAGGAGGCAGAGGTTGTGGTGAGCCGAGATCATGCCATTGAACTCCAGCCTGGGCAACAAGAGCGAAACTCCATCTCGAAATAATAATAATAATAATAATAATAATAATATTAATAATAATAATGCAGGCTGTTTGGTTTCTGGCTGAGTTATGAGTTCTTTATATATCCTAAATATGAATCCTTTATTAAATATACATTTGTACTATTTTCTCCCAGTCTGTGGCTTGCCTTTTCATTTTCTCCATGATATCGTTCAAAGAGTTTTTCATTTTGATGAAGTCCAACTGTGATGATATATATGAGTGTTTTTGTAGCTGGTCCCTGTCTCATAACTCCCATAGCCCTTACTACAGTAAACAGAATCTCCCTCTCTGACCTTCTGCCGTCCTTTCACCTGCCCAAAGCTAGACTCTGATCTGACTGTGGGTCATAAGACTCTTATTCCAGAGAGGGTCCTGCCTCCTACCCTGGGATAAGGAATGCTGTGCAAAGAGGCCCAAAGAACCTGGTCAGGCCTTGCCGGGTTTAGATCACACCTTTTTTGGTCCAATCACATTTCAACATTGTTGTCCATGTTTCAATCATGCCTATCCAATGACATTTCCATAAAATGCCCAAGAGGACAGGGTTTGGGGAGTTTCTAGAGAACCGCAGGTGGAGGCTGACAGGAAGGTGAACAAGAATGAGTTCCCCAACCCACCCGCAGGGACAGAAGCTCCTGTGCTCAGAATCCTTTCAGACCTCACCCCACCTATGTAGCTCTTCACCCTTAAAATACCCTTTGTTAGCTAAGCATGGTGGCGGAACGTCTGTAGTCCCAGCTACTTGGAAGGCTGAGGCAAGAGGATCACTTGAGTCCAGAAGTTGGAGACAGCCTGGGCAATACAGTGAGACCCTGCCTTTAAAAAAAAACATACACCGGTAAACTTACATGTTTCCCCGAGTTCTGTCAGCCGCTCTAGCAAATTAATTGAACCCAAGGAGGGGAACGTGGGAACCCCAATATATGGCTGGTTGGTCAGAAATTCCAGAGGCCTGGACTTGCAACTGGTGTCAGAAGTGGAGGGCAGTCTTAAGTTCTCAGCCCTCAACCTGTGGGGTCCGATTCTCTCCCCAGGTAGACAATGTCATAATGGAATTGGAGGACACCCATCTGCTATCCACTCCAGAACTGATTGCTTGTTTGTAAGGGGGGAGAACCACCCCCTGACTTTAGTCTTCTGTGGTGATGATTGCTGCTGATGAAAGGAATGGGAAAAAGCACTTTGGTTTTTATGTGTTTTCTGCTCACAGCAACTTACTCTATTTTTTCCTCTTTTATGGCTAGTGCTTTATGTAACCCAATAAATCTGGGCTTAAGTCAGTAAGCTTTTTTTTTTTTTTTTTTTTTTTGAGACAGTCTCTCGCTCTGTCCCCCAGGCTGGAGAGCAGTGGCGCAACCTCCGCTCACTGCAAGCTCCGCCTTCCAGGTTCACACCATTCTACTGCCTCAGCCTCCTGAGCAACTGGGACTACAGGCGAGCAGCTGGGACTACAGGCGCCCGCCACCAGGCCCGGCTAATTTTTTGTATTTTCAGTAGAGACGGGTTTTCACCGTGTTAGCCAGGATGGTCTCAATCTCCTGACCTTGTGATCTGCCCGCCTCAGCCTCCTGAAGTGCTGGGATTACAGGCGTGAGCCACCGCGCCCGGCCTAGGTCACTGAGCTTTTCTCTTGTGTTTTCTCACAGAAACTTAATAGTTTTAGCCTTCACATTTAGGTCTGTTACCTGTTTCAAGTTGACTGCTGTTTATGGCACGGAATCAGGTTCAGTTTTTTCTCCGTATGACTCTTCAAATGTTCTTGCATTGTTTTTTGAAAATATAATCCTTTCCCTCTTAAATTACCTTGGCCTTTCTGTTGAGTACCAGGTGATTATATACATATGGATCTATTTCTGGGCACTATATTCTGTTCCATCTGATTTGTTTTGTTTTGTTTTTGAGATGGGGTCTTGCTCTGTTGCCCAGGCTGGAGTGCAGTGGCGTGATCTCGGCTCACTGCAACCTCTGCCTCCCGGATTCAAGCGATTCTCCTGCCTGTCTCCCAAGTAGCTGGGATTACAGGCGTGTGCCACCACACGCTAATTTTGTATTTGTAGTAGAGACGGCGTTTCTCCATGTTGGTCAGGCTGGTCTCGAACTCCCAACCTCAGGTGATCCACCTGCCTTGGCCTCCCAATGTGCTGGGACTATAGGCATGAGCCACTGCACCTGGCTGGCTGTGAGTTTTTCATACATGCCTTTATCTGGCTGAGGAACATCCCCTCTAGTCCTAGTTTGCTGACATTTTTTAAAATCACATTGGATCTTGACAAATTCTTTTTCCTGTGGTTCCTGAAATAATCATATGGTTTTTCACCTTCATTCTGTTAATATGAAGAATTATATGAACTGATTTTTTCAAATACAAACCAGCCTTACATTCCAGGGATAAATGCCACTTGGCTATAATATATTATCCTTCTACATATGTTAATAATTTAAATTTTGCCAATGTTTTGATAGGGATTTTGTGTAATATTTCTTCTTATGTAATATAAACATTTAAGCTACAAAGCCGTAAGTTTATAAATACTGCTTTATGTATATCCCACAAATACTGACATGCTATGTTTTCATTATAATTCAGTTTAAAATATTTTCTCATTTTCTTTTTAATTTCTTTGACCCAGGGTTTATTTAGAAATGTATTGTTTAATTTCCAAATAATTGATAATTTTCTAGGTATCTTTTGTTGTTGATTTCCACTTAAATTTCACTGAGAACATATCCGGTATTACTTCATTCCCTTTGAATTTATCAAGACCTGGTTGATGGCCCAGCATATGGTCTATCTTGAGAAATATTCCATATTCATTTGAAAATAATGTGCACCCTGCAGTTGCTGGTGGGTTTAATGAACGTGCATGAGGCCAGGCTGGCAGGGAGAGTTGTCAGGCCCTCTCTCTCCTTCTGTGTGTGTTCTTCCTTGTTCTAATCACAGAAGAGGAGTGGTGAGATCTCCTGTGTTTGTTTTGTTTTTCTTTTTGAGATAGAGTTTCGCTCTTATTGCCCAGGTTGGAGTGCAATGGTGCCATCTCAGCTCACTGCAAACTCCGCTTCCCGGGTTCAAGTGATTCTCCTGCCTCAGCCTCCCTAAGTAGCTGGGATTACAGGCATTTGCCACCATGCCTAGCTAATTTTTGTATTTTTAGTAGAGACAGGGTTTCACCATGTTGGTCAGGCTGGTCTCGAACTCCTGACCTCAAGTGATCCACCCCCCTCGGCCTCCCAAAGTGCTGGGATTACAGGCATGAGCCACCACACCCGGCCGAGATCTCCAACTTTAATCATGAATCTGCCAGTTTCTTCTTTCACTTTTGTCAGTTTTCACATCATGTCTTTTGAAGCAAGACAAGGATTTTTAATGTCCTCTGGATGTACTGATGCCTTTATCATCACAAAATGCCCTTCTCTCTAGTAATATTCCTTGTTACGAAGTATGCTTTGTCTTACAGTATCATTTGACCATGACTCAAATCTGCTTTAAAACTCCAATGTCCCTTTCTTTTACCTAACATCATCTTTGCATTACCGAACCTTCTGCCTAGAAGTAGAAATCATTCTAGTATAAAACTGAGGAGGACAAAATGAACTAGTCCTATCCCTGTCCCAAAGGAAGGCAGCTCACTAGACTGTAGACATTTGTGTTGTCCCCCACCCCAAGACAACTCACCAACATTCATTCACTATGGAACAGAAAGGTTTGTCTGATGGTTAAAAATACTTTCTATTTCTATGTCAATGACAGTTCTTTTTTTTTTTTGAGATAGAATCTTGCTCTGTAACCCAAGCTGGAGTGTAGTGGCATGATTTCAGCTCACTGAAGCCTCCGCCTCCTGGGTTCAAGCATTGTCCTGCCTCAGCCTCCTGAGTAGGTGGGATTACAGATGCCCGCCACCACACATGCTAATTTTTGTATTTTTAGTAGAGATGGGGTTTCTCCACCCTGGCCAGGATGGTCTCGAACTCCTGACCTCAGGTGATCTGCCCACCTCAGCCTCCCAAAGTGCTGGGATTACAGGCGTGAGCCACTGTACCCAGCTGACAATTCTTAAGGTTAAAAGTAAATGACAGCCTAGCTTGGTTACAAACATGCCTGTGAAAAACAGGAGGTCTAATTCAGTAATTACCAGCTTCCAACCCAAAGTCGGGCACTACAGGCTGGAGAATGAAGTGGTACCCGAGAAATAAAACCTTCCACAGCACAGGCAAGAGCCACCCACTCTTCTTCACTTACTGTCCCCTGTGTCAGAAGGGACTGAGGTCACAGCTGGACCTCCAGGGTGCAGATGCCTACATTCCCCATCAGGATTGCAGGACTACCTGGCCCTTCTCTGAAGCCGGGGAGCAAGGTCTGCTGGCCTGGCAGTGAGGGCAACCTCCAAAGGCAACCACGGCATCAGTGACAGCGGCTTCTCCCCTGGCTTCCTGGGCTGAGCCACACTGTCCTGATGCCACCAGGTCACCACATTCGGGTACTTGGGGAGACAGAGAACCCTCTGTAAGGAATGGTCATTTGCTGCCAAGCATTCACAAATACTATAGCATTTTTACCCGGGAGTAGGATGGAAAAAAAAAAAAAAACGCTGCTAAAACATACCATGTACCCAAATTCAATAGATGAAATCTTGGCTTGTACAATGGACCAAAGTCCCCAGAGGAAATGAGATGCAAGGGCAAACCTGGAATGACAAAAGCAAGAAACACATATGAGACATACAGTATCAGTTACAGGACTGATGAAATGATTTCATGCCAGATGGACATTTTAACTTGTGTGGATGCAAACCTAGTTAGTGTTGGCAAATCATGGGTCTATATTCCATGGGACTAACTAAGAAAAATGGGAATATCACTCCCATACCCTTCCTTCATCTGCTAGTGACAGGTGCACTGGTGAGTGTGAACACACACAGCTGGTCTGGCCATGGCACATGTCAATGCCACTTGGCCATAATATATTCACAGGGTGAATATATTCACATTCACAGGGTGCAGGTGAAGGCCTGGGTGGCTATGCTGGCAGAAAAGAAAGCAAGCCTGCCACAAGGGAGGGTGCGCAGCATCAGCAACCAAGAGGCAGCCCTTTGCTGGAGGCACGATGAAGCTCTCACTCCTTGAGCAAGAGACTTCTAAATCCCATCCTTGTCCCATCCCCTTCTGTCACACAGAAGTGAAAAGAGCAGATGAGAGAGTGTGAGCCACGTCACCATCTCTAGGCTGTACCAAGCCCCCAAGTCACTGCGAATCCAAGTTCCTCCTCAAACGATACCCTGAGGGTTCATCTACATGAAGATAAAGCTCAAATTTAGGAGTGCCTGCTCTAGTATCCTCCAACCCTACTCTCTGTTCATCCTGTGGTCCTCAGCCCACTAGAGTCCCTTGTGCTACCCTTTCTGTCTGGGTTCTCCTTCATCTACCTTTTTCTGTTTCCACCAGTTCAAGAAACAGAAAGAGATAATGTAAGCTGTGGTGGGGCCCGGCAGGTAGGCAGATGTGACAACACACTTAGTGTGGGGGGTGAGCACTCTGGAGGCCATGAGGAGATGACTGTGGTAAGTGCAGTGGAAAGATGAGGTGGGCCACAGTGACTTCAACAGCAATTTTACCAAGTAATGTCACAGGAGACCCCAAATAACAGGAACAATTCACAGGCCTCTTGACTAAAGAGATGGACAATAGTGGTCTAGACCTTTGCAGAATCTGGAAGTTTCAGGACCCTGCTTTGAAAACTTGAAAAACCAGTAAAAAGCAAGACTTAAAACTAATAAACGAGTTTAGTCATTTTCTAGGAGAAACTGAAGAGTCAAACGCAGCAAACGGTGCCCACCACTCCACAAGCATCAGTGACAAAGTTTGCACGGCCAGGTGCAGTGGCCCACGTCCGTAATCCTAGCACTTTGGGAGGCCGAGGCAGGGGAACCACTTGAGCCCAGGAGTTCATGACCAGCCTGGGCAACAGAGCAAGACCCCGTCTCTACAAAAAAAAATACAAAAATTAGGCAGGCATGGTGGCACGTGCCTGTAGTCCCAGTTACTTGGGAGGCTGAGGCAAGAGGCTCGCTAAGAGTTAGAGGCTGCAGTGAGCCATGATCGCATTGCTGCACTCCAATCTGGGTGACAGAGCAACATCCCATCTCAAAAAAGAAGAAAAAAAATTCTGTAGGCCCTGGGTGGCAGCAACCCTGTATGGCTGGGTTGTTGTGTCTGGATGACAGTTCAGAATGTCACAAAGTGTCCTGACCCTTCTTGGACACGGGACTTCTTCTTGTGATATGGTTTGTCTCTGTCTCCCCACCCAAATCTCATCTTTAATTGTAATCCCCATGTGTGGAGGGAGGGACTGGTAGGAGGTAACTGGATCATGCAGGTGGTTTCCCCCATGCTGTCCTCCCAATAGTGAGCGGGTTCTCATGAGATCTGATGGTTTTAAAAGTGTTTGGTAGTTCAACCTTCTCTGTCTCTCTGCCCCTCTCTCTCCTGGCGCCATGTAAGAAGTGCCTTGCTTCCCCTTTACCTTCTGCTATGATTGCAGGTTTCCTGAGGCCTTCCTGGCCATGCAGAACTGTGAGTTAATTAAACCTCCTTTCTTTATAAATTACCCAGTCTCAGGTAGTATCTTTGTAGCCATGTGAGAACAGACTAATATACTCTGCCTGCTGTATGCTCAGATCTGAAAGTTCTGCATAGTCTCAGCCACAATGGAGAAGTAGCAAATTCTATTTTTGACAAAGGGCAAGTCCTAAAGATGTACGATTAAAAAGAAGCTCCTAGGTCGGGCGTGGTGGCTCACACCTGTAATCCCAGCATGGGAGGCTGAGGTGGGTGGATCACCAGAGGTCAGGAGTCCAAGACCAGCCTAGCCAACATGGCAAAAACCCCATCTCTACTAAAAAATACAAAAATTAGCTGGACATGGTGGCAGGCCCCTGTAACTCCCAGCTACTTGGGAGGCTGAGACAGGAGAACTGCTTGAACCTGGGAGGCAGAGGTTGCAGTGAGCCAAAATTGCACCACTGCACTCCAGCCTACGTGACAGAGCAAGACTCTGTCTCAAAAACAAAAACAAAAACAAAAAAAGAAGCTCTAAAATACTCATAATTGCAAGTAAGCATCCCAAATATAGTCTATAAAGAGGAACGCTATCTTTACAAATCCAAAAAGGAAAAACGTTACCTATTGACTTCAAGCAACATTTCTTCTTCTATAATGGATTTTTCTTCAGTACTGAGGTTTTCAAAGTCATTTTGGAATGCAGGCAAGTAACTGGAAATAAAATGGAGCTTAAAAAAAAGTAATTGTGTTAGGATCAATGATGGTTAAAACAGACTGTCAATAGCTGTCACGAAGCATATGCATCTACTGTGACACACTGGGAGACACACACTCAACATGACGTTCACATCTCCGACATCCTGGGCTGGCACCAGCAAGCCAACCTTTGCGAGGCTTTCAGCTGCTCTCTCTCCCCAGGATTTCTAGTGGAGATACAGTGTCTAGGCTCTTCAGCATACTTTTTCCCTTTAGAGTAGCGCTTAAAACTGGACACCATTATTTTGGAGGCAGGCTTGGTGCACCCTCCCAGTCCTACTCAACTTCAGCACTGCTACCAAGGCTTCAGTGCTGGGCTGAGGAATGGGAGAGAAAGATCCCAGGAGGAAACTCCCATGAGAACTGATTCTCCACACAATTACCAGCCTCCTCCCATCATTCAGGACAGGAAAGGGAACTGTTAACACCAAAGACATTTCCTTCCATTACTAAACCCTGGTGCCCGAAAGATTACTTCTCTCTCCACAGTGTGAAATGAATAGAAAAAGGTCAGTGATCGCCAAAAAGATGGCCAGAAAGGGGAATCAAGGCTGGGTTTTTCAGAAAACACCAGAAGGAACTACAAAGGATGCTAAAGCTCTTCTCTGAATATAAGTATCTCTGACACAGAGATTTTTAATAAGCTGGACTAAAACGTCAAGTTTGTGTCTACATTTAACAGAAACAAAATAACATTTTTTAACATAAACCAAACTTTAAACTTTAAAAGGTTAACTTTAAAAATGAAGATGTAGGGCAGGGGTGGTAGCTCACAACTGTAATCCCAGCAGTTTGGGAGGCTGAGGCAGGAAGATCACTTGAGCCCAGGAGTTTGAGACCAGCCTGGGCAACTTGGTGAAACTCCATCTCTACAAAAAAAACAATTAGCTGAGCGTGGTGGCATGCGCCTGTGGTCCCACCTACTTGGGAGGCTGAGGCGAGAGGATCACCTGAGCGCAGGAGGTCAAGGGTACAGGGAGCCATGATCGCACTACTGCGATCTGTACTCCAGTCTGGGAAACAGAGTGAGACCCTGTCTCAAAAAATAAAAAAGAAGATGTAATTCTAACTGCATGAAATTGATGTAATTTTCCTATCAAGTATACAAAAACTCATCTCCTACCTGCTGTTTCTTGGTGGGATACTTCCGGATGTTTGCTCTGAAAAAAGGGTACTTTTCATAGCTATAATCATACATCCACTCACAGAAGTGATTTCCAATGTCGAATCCCCTGAAATAAGAGACAAGACAGTGCACAGAATGAGGCAAACCGTATGCCTGGAGGCTCCCTGACTGCAGAAGAAAGAAAGGCTGAGTTCCGAGCATGCCACTCCTGTTGCCATCTGGACTTGCTGAGGGAGCAGGACTGTAACTGCTTTAATGACAGAGACAGCCAACAGATGGTTGTCAGCATCACAGCTGACTAAAGCTATACAGGCGCACCTGAACCACAACTCCAGAACAATGTGTCTCCTCAACTAGGATTTATGAGAAGAAAATAACCTCTGAAGCCAAAAGAAAATGCCAGAGTCTGGCTGAATGGCATGGCTGTCCCCAACTAGCGCTGTCTGCTAGGAACAAGGAGGGCCGTGCCACCTCACCACAACCATCACGGGCCACTGGACGAGAAGCCACTGATTCCAGGTGAAGCAGCTTGCAACTCAGGGTGGCGTTTTGACTTATTTTCTCTAATAACTGTTAATTAAGCATATCATAATGATAAAACAATATTGAGATGGAAACACTGGACTGTAACATATTACCTGTAATTGTAACTGCTGTATTCGAAGTCAATGAGCATCAGTTTCTGTTTTTCAGAATTCTCTTGGCCTTCCAGCAACAAGATATTACCTGCAAAAGGTTTGGATAACATGGCTTATGTTTTACAATAGAAGGTTCAAGTCCTTGAACAGCAGAGCCGAGAGAATGGATCTGATCCCTTAGGGAATCCTAGCTGAATGTGGCTTTTGGTCTGTGGACATCACCAGGGCCTAGACAGAGCGTAGAAGTGCTCACGGGAGGCCTACCCCTGTGCACGGAGGCTCCTGACCCACCTGGCCATAACAACCCCTGCTCATAGCCCTAGTCCCCACCGGACCCCCAGGCTCACTATGGAACAAAGCCTAGTCTCTTGCTCTGCTGTCAGAAGAGTACTTCCCAAATGTTCTGTATGGTGGCATGCAGGAGCTCGGGCTAGCCAAACACCACCCTCAGCAGCCCTGGGACTTGGTTTGCTGTCTGCAGGCCAGCTGGCTGCAGCACCCCAGCTGGGAAGCTGCGGGAGTGCCCTCCAGTAAGAAAGGCAAGGAAGAGCTCAGCTGCCACACGGGATGCCCTGCTTTGTTCTTGCCTGCTTTTCCCTCCCAACGAGACCACAGGCAGCATTCCTACACCACTATTTCCTTTACTGTTGGATTCTGGGTCAGGAGTTGGTCGGCCATCAGCCTGGCTCTGCAGGCCTACATTCCTGATATCCCCACACTAGACATGACATTCAGCATCTCCGACATCCTGGGGCTGGCACCAGTGAGCCAACCTTTGCTAGGTTTTCAGCTGCTCTCTCCCTCCAGGATTTCTAGTGGAGGTATAGTGTCTAGGTTCTTCAGCATACTTTTTCCATTTAGGGTAGCAATTACAACATAAACTGGAGACCAGAAAACGTGATTGGCTCACACTTGTAATCACAGCACTTTGGGAGGTGGAGGTGGGAGGATCACTAGAGTCCAGGAGTTTAAGACCAGCCTGGGAAACACTGAGAGACTCCATCTCCATGAATTATTAGCCAGGCATAGTAGTGTGTGCCTGTGATCCCAACTATTCGGGAGGCTAAGGTAGAAGGATCACTTAATCCCAAGAGGCTAAGGCTACGTGGAGCCTTGATTGTGCTACTGCATACCAGGCTGGGTGACACAGTAACAGTCTCAAAAAAAAAAAAAAAAAAAAAAAAAAGGCAAATTGGAGGCAGACACCCAAAGTAGCAGAACAAAATTAATGTACAACTGTTACCTCTTCGATCCCTCCTACACTTTGCCATCATCAACGCAGCTGATCTCCTCCAGTCCCCTCTCTCTAGTGATGTCTGTGCCATTTATCACCCCCTCACCACCAGAAGGGCAAGGATAATACACAAAGCTGTAGCTGTAATGTCTATACTCTCCTTGACTTGAGTTAGCCAGCTACAAGCAGCTAATTAGTAAAAGGTAATTTGGCTCAAATGAATGGCTTATGGATGACGGGTCTTCATGAGAGACCGTTTTCAGGATTAAAAGCAAACTGCTGAGCCTGGCAAAGAAGGGCTCAAGGTGTGACCTGAACTACTGTGACTGGGGGAGGCAAGGTCAAGGCAGAGCAAGGCCATGTCAGCAGCACCAGTGGGAGCTGCATAGTGGGGGGCCTCTGATGAGACTATTCAATGTGCAATTGCGTGGGATAAAATTTTGTTACAGTAAGGAACATATCACTGTCATGTTTTCAAAGCAGAGAAGCCCGAAGTAATTAATAGCACAGTGCACTGATACTAGGAGAGAAGGTGTTAGGATTACACGTGTTGCAATAAGCAACACTACGCTATGTGATGCAGAAGGGAAGGGCCCAGGACTGAATGGGGTAGGCAGTGGATCTTGTTCTTTTATTGCTTTTTCAGGTTAAAAAAAATCATATATGTTTACTACAAGGAGTTAAACACTGAAAAAGTAACATGTGACTTAGAAAGTTTAAGTTCTGTATCCCAATTTCCCAAGTTTAGTGAATATTCTTTCGGATTTCTTCCATGTAATGTGTGTGTGTGTGTGTGTGTGTGTGTGTGTGTGTGTGTGTGTGTGTGTATATATATTTTTTTTTTTTTACAGGATCTTGCTCTGTCATCCAGGCTACAGTGCAGTGGTGCATAGTATACTATAGCCTTGAAATCCCAGGCTCAAGCCATCCTCCAGCCTCAGCTTACCAAGTAGCTGGGACTACAGGTGCACACCACTATGCCTGGCTAATTTTTTAATTTTTTGTAGAGATGGGGTCTTGCTATGCTGCCTAGGCTGGTCTAGAACTCTTGGGCTCAAGCAATCCTCCCACCTTGGCCTCCCAAAGTGCTGGGATTACAGACATGAGACACTGTGCCTGGCCTCATATGCTAAAAAAGTAATAAGTAATACAAAACCTCACTGTCTGATTGTATCATAATTTAATGTACCTAATACACTCTTGATGCTACCTGGCATTTTTTAGACACACTGCCAGTAATTTTCTAAGTATACACACAAACCTCATCTGTAACAGAACATAGCAATTCTTACCTTCTTGACAGTCATTATGACAAAATACAACTGGAGATGGAGTAGATTCAAGCAATGATCTGAAAAGAAAGGTTTCACTGTTACCTATCAAGCTTCTCAGTCAGCTGCACACCGTCTTGCCTTCTCCACATGGCCAGCACCAAATTCGTGCTCCAAAGCAACACACAGTTTGGGAGTAGTATCTGTGATGTGAATTCTGACAACTGTGTCAGAATTCCACAACAGCTCCACAGTAACAACTCCACAGCAGCTCCCGCCTGAAACCCCCACAGGCCCTCTGCACTCAGCTCTTCCCCCGGAGGACCCTCTGCATGTGCCACTCCCTCCTGGAGCCCCTTTCTCTGCTGGTCTCAGCTTGTACAGCACCCCCTTAGACAGCCCTTCTCTTACCAGTGACCCAAGCAGTTCCCCCTATGCAGACTAAGGGCCTACTTTGGTCTATGCTTCTGTCACAGCACTTATCACAATTTGACATTATTTTATTTGTTTACTTGTTTTCCCTTGGCAGCGATCATCAAGCCTAGCAGAGGAGGCACATACCTGAGTAATTAAAGGTGTAAATACTTATGGCTGGGTGTGGTGGCTCACGCCTGTAATCCCAGCACTTTGGGAGGCTGAGGTGGGCAGATCACGAGGTCAAGAGACCAAGACCACTCTGACCAACATGGTGAAACCCCGTCTCCACTAAAAATACAAAAATTAGCTGGGTGTGGTGGCACATGCCTGTATTCCCAGCTACTTGGGAGGCTGAGGCAGGAGAATCACTTGAACCCGGGAGGGGGAGGTTGCAGTGAGCTGAGATCGCGCCACTGCACTCCAGCCTGGCAACAAAGCGAGACTCCGTCTTATTAAACAAACAAACAAACAAAAAATGGTATAAATACTTGTTAGTGTACAGATGTGAGTAGCCTGCATCCAGCATCACTCTGAGGACAAGGATGGCCTTGCTTCAGAGATCAGCAGGAAGATTCTGTTTCTCACAAAAGCCAAGGTTGAACTGTAAGGAAGAGGGATTTTTCTCACACTCCCCAGCCTGCCCTTACTCCCTTCTCCCCACCAGAGAAAATCCACCCCGCTAGACACTCTACTGCCCTGGCCATCAAGCCACTCCTTCGACATTTTCCTTCTCTATGGAACTTTCACAAACTGACTAGAGGCCACGTGTGGGCCTCTAGTCCATAGAGTCTATAATCTCTAGTCCTCTAGAGAACCATAATTCCAGATGACAAAACTTATCTGTTTAAATTCATCCTGTAAAATCAATGTAAAATGCCAGACATAAGGCAAGCTCAATCAATGTTTACTGACAACAGTTTTAGTGACTAAGAATATTTAAAGTCAGGAAATAGAAGGAAAACTTACCTCAGGTTTTCCAGTTCCAAAGGCAGATTGTAACTGAGCAATTTGTGGAGCTTTTTAATTCTGGATTCCTCAGTAAATTTAATTCTCAGAACTTCATTTAGATATCTATTAAATTTTTTTTTTAAAAAAAGAACAGAACAAAGAATCACTGTCAATTCACCAAGGCTTGTTGTTCTTGGGGCTTTGGTTAAACATTCAATCCCAGTGCAGTCCCAATGCCAGCGGGACCCCTCTGGCTGCCACGACTGAGGGAGAGGAGCGGCCTTGGGGGTTCGTGGCATTCTAGGAAGGTGATTTTCTGCCCCTTCACCCGTTCAATAGCATTTTTGTATAAGCCTTCTTTCTTGGTTTAGGAATTGACTTTTATATGTAAGAAAGACTTACTTATGAGACAAGTATCACCAGCTGACACTCTGCACTTCAGAGAACTAGGAAGACCTAGTTGCTCACTCTGGTACTTCTAGGAGCCACCACTGTAAAACTACATTAGGACCAAGTGATTTCACCACTTACTTTTCCATTGTGCCAAAAAGCCATTTTGGTTCCTTATTGAATGGCATTTTCATACCATGAAACGTAGCCATTTTCTCAGCAATTTCTGCAGAAATATCTGGCAAACTTAATTCTTCAGTATCTAACCGGCGGCTCTGAAATAGAAAAGGGAGTTAAAAACTGACCTTTACCAAGTAAACTAAAAAGAGTGAGATTACACAGTCTTAGGAATGAGAAGCCAGTTTTTGTAGTGCATTTAAGTCTCACCCAATGCCCCAAATTCCCTTAAGAATGGACACTGTGTCCCCACAGTGACCCAGCAATTGCTATGGCACTTCGACAGTGAGGAGCCAGCCACCTCCAAATATCTATCTCATTCTGAACCCCTTTTAACTATGAGAACTCCTTCCTTAAATTTTATTGAACTGAAACTACACTATCATCTATTCTTCTGGTCTCTAAAACCACAGCAAATGTCTATTCTCTACCCAATGCTGAAGTCCATGTCTTCAGCAGTTTATCACACAGCTCTGCTTCCAGCTCCTCCATCAGCTGGGACATTCTACTCTGATGTGTTGCAGGTGAGATGCAGGGTCCAGAACAGGTCGTAACCAGATGTGTCACAAGGACGGGGGGCCGTCTCCAGCTGCTCCCAGTGGCGGCGTCAGCACCTGGCCTGGCACAGAGAAGGTGTCCAGGGCAAAGTTGGGCAAAAAAACAGTGTCTAGAGGACTTCCTCCTGGCCTCTGCATCCTGCACTTCCCTAAATCAGCCTGAGGCCATGCTTGTTTGGCTGCCCTTTTACAGGAGGCCCATGGGAGCTCACAATCAACTGAAACCTCTAGAGCTTCCTCGTGTGACCTACCACCCTGCAGAAACCTAAAGAGAGGTTTCTGTGAAAATGCAAAGAAGTACAGCACAGAGGTAAGAGTGAATGCTCCCAACTTAGGGAAACCCCAGCTGAAATCGTGGCTTTAATTCTCATTTCAAAGCTACATGGTCATCCAAGTTACCTCACTGTGTTCCCATTTCTATCAAATGGGAATCAGGACATGAAGTCTCTCACAGAGTTGCCAGGAGAGCTGGAGGAGAGAATGCAGGTGAGGTCTCTGGGACAGCACCGAGCCCAGGGTGCAGCTCAGCAAGTGGCAGACGTCTGCTACTGAGAGCTAAGAGCTCACTGTAAGCATTGGGCTCAACCTTCTATTCAACTCCCTCCAGAAAGCACTGTCACCCCAGCACTGTCAACAAATTACCATGCTGCAATAAGAACAAGGACTCCACTTCCAGCAGCAGGACACGCAGGACTTATTAAGGTAGCTCACTCAGCTTTCAAAACTGCCATTAATTTGGCAACAAGGAAAATCTAAAGCTAACATGCTCAGATATGAACAAATTTCAGTATTCCAAATTCCTTCCCCAGCACAGAGAGAAACAGACTACCTACCATCCCTAGTGGCCCCGCTATTCTCACATGCCCTTTGAAAGATGGCTACAGGAATCATGAAACTAAATCACCTGATCCCAAGCAGTGAAGAGTAAACCTAAGCCAGGCGTGGTGGCTCATGCCTGTAATCCCAGCACTTTGGGAGGCCAAGGCGTGAGGATTGCTTGAGCCCAGGAATTTGAGACCAGCCTGGGCAACACAGGGAGACCCCATCTCTACAAAAAAATAAAATTAGTCAAACATGGTGGCACATGCTTATAGTCCCAGCTACTTGGGAGGCTGAGGTGAGAGGATTGCTTGAGCCTGGGAGGTTGAGGCTGCAGTGAGCTGAGATCAAGCTGCTTATACTTCACTATACTGGGCAACAGAGTGAGACCCTATCTTAAAAAAAAAAAAAAAAAACAAATCTAGAAATAACATATGGTATTAGGTTGAATCAAATGAAACTGCCATTCTTGTTGGTCAAAAACAGTTAAACACCAGCAGCATCATATGGTTCAAACCTAGTATATAACAGAATTTAAAAAAAATTTTCAGCCGGGCACAGTGGCTCAAGCCTGTAATCCCAGCACTTTGGGAGGCCGAGACGGGTGGATCACGAGGTCAGGAGATCGAGACCATCCTGGCCAACACGGTGAAACCCCATCTCTACTAAAAAATACAAAAAACTAGCCGGGCGAGGTGGCGGGCGCCTGCAGTCCCAGCTACTCGGGAGGCTGAGGCAGGAGAATGGTGTAAACCCGGGAGGCGGAGCTTGCAGTGAGCCGAGATCCGGCCACTGCACTCCAGCCTGGGCGACAGAGCGAGACTCCGTCTCAAAAATAAATAAATAAATAAATAAATAAATAAATAAATAAATAAAATTTTCACTATGGCTGGGTGCAGTGGTTCACACCTGTAATCCTGGTGACTTAGGAGGCTGAGGCAGGAAAAGAGCTTGAAGCCAGGAATTTAAGACCAGCGTGGGTAACACAGCAAGACCCATCTCTATAAAAAAATTTTATTAATAAAAATTTTTTTAATAAGCTGGGTGTGCTGGTGTGCACCTGTACTCCCAGCTACCTGAAAGGCTAAGGCAGAAAGATCACTTGAGTCCAGAAGTTCGAGGCTGTAGTGAGCTATGATCATGCCATTGCACTCCAGCCTGGGCAAGACAGTGAGATTCCCATCTCAAAAAAAAAAATTAAATATGTAATAAACAATATATATAAGAGTATAGATAGAACTTAAGAACTAGAACAAAATCGATTCCACAGATACTATAATCTATGTGTCCTCATGCCTGCCCTTTTTGTCCCCAAGATACTTTTATTATTCTGAATTGTGTTAACATAATTCTCTTACCTTGTCCAAAAAGAGAACTTTTATTACATGTGCATATATTCTTAAACAATTTTTAAAATGTATCAGGCTTTATAGAATGGTATGATACTACTTACAGTCTCCTGCAGTTTGGTTTTATCATTCGACACTGTATTTGTAAGATTCACTTACATTGCCACTTATAACCATATGAGGTTTTATATTTCCAAAATTCTTTCAAAAACTTATTATCTCGGCCAGGTGCAGTGGCTCACACCTGTAATTCCAGCACTTTGGGAGGCCAAGGTGGGCGGATCATCTGAGGTCGGGAGTTCAAGACCAGCCTGGCCAACATGGAGAAACCCTGTCTCTACTAAAACATAGCCAGGTGCCAGGGAGCAAACTAAAGGTAAAAGCTGGTGCAATGAAGGCACCATCCACTCATCTAAACACATCCTCAGCACTGGCAGCTAGCACAACGCTAGCACAGATGGACAGCACCACTGTCAACTAGAAGAGGATATCTCTTCTGGGGAGACAGAGCACAACTAGCCTCCCTGTTTCTGGGCTGTGGGATTAGACAAAGAAACCCCTGCCCCTGGTCCCCAGCCAGACACAGCAGAGCACCCCTCTGCCAGGCATCCTACTGCTAGGCTCCATCTGCACAGATGTACAGGACAGCCCTGGACATGCCCAGGCCTCTCATGGATAAGACATCTCATGCAGCAGGGCAGGAAAAGCTAGCGGCTTATGACTCTAGTCCTCAAGGAGCTTATGCTCAATTAAAATGGGGAATATCTGGTCTATCTAGGAAGGGAGTGCAGGCTGACAAAGACCAGCATTGCCAACCAAAGTAGTACTGCCAGGGCTCAGAGCCATACTTCAACACTTAGGGTTCATGAGAACCCCTGGGCATGAAGAATTGTGCAGGGCATGGAGTCTGGGGTAGGTGGGTAGAGGGACAGAAACTATGCTTTAGATATGTACATGTAACTCTAAGACATGGTATACTGGTAAATGTTATAGCAACACTAAAACTGCCTTGGGGGACAATAAGAAAGGGAAAATAATCCTGACTGCTTAGAAATTAGACTGCAAGGTCTTGGAGCAAGGCCTTGAAATCTAAGAATTTGACCAGCATATGGGGACAGGAAGATGGGCGGTAGGGAGACTCAGTGGGAATGCATAAAACAAACCAAGGAAGGGTGATGGGAAAGAACAGGCATGGCCCCCTCACAGGGCTACAGCCAGAGACTGAGCAGGGTACAGTCAAGGCCAACGTGTTCTAGTAGCAAGTTCTATAAAGCAGGGCCCCAGAAGTTGAGAGGAACAAGGTGAAAAAGGGCAAAGTCTCAGGGTACACAGCCTCAGGGGACAATGAAATGGTAGGTTTCATATATTTTTCAAATTTGGATGAATATACCTTTACAGGAAAGAAAGAGGTTCTGATATGAGTACAAAATAAATGTTGCTTTCCATGATTTCTGATACAGTTTAATGACATAGGTGAGGTTAACAGTTCAAGAACCAGCATTGCAGGTTCTTGCAGCAATGAGACAAAGAAGCCATCTTCTGTCTGTGGCTTATGTCAACTGAGCCTTTATGAACAAATCTTACCGGGATGAACTGTTCCAGTCGGCCTTGGGGAAAGATGCCATAGAGTTTTGGCCCAAGTGACCTCTCTGCGAGAATGGCAAACATAACGCTCTCCAGAACCATGGCCTCGGCCCCCTAAAACAGATGGCAACAAGTCAGGTGTTTACTGAGTGTTTGCTATGCGCCAGGCATCAGAGGCACTCTCACAGGAGTGTTTCATCTAGTCCTCACGAGTATTCTTTCATGTGGACACTACTGTTATCACCATCCCCATTTTAAATATGAAGAAATAGAGGTTCCAAAGTCACACATCTTGTCATTTGCAGGATTCATGCTTGCAAGCACTACGCTATATTGATAAGATTTAAAATGTGAGTTTAAGTTAGGTCACTAGTTCCAAAAATAGAAAAATATCCATCAGTGCTTTTATTGCTTCTATTTATTTTGCAACCTATATAGGAGTCTCACTCTTGGCATCTCACCAAAGACCACAACACTATCCATTCTGGTAAGGGTTGATTTGCTTTTGGTTGAGTGCACCTAGTTAAAGCAAAGGATCCAAAGGACCTTCTGCCTACTAAATTGGGCTCATGGGTCCAACAAGCTTGAAAATCACTGATTTAGGTCCAGGCTATGGCTTTCTAGTCCAAAGAGCAGCCGAGCGTGGAGCATCCCAGATTTCAGCTGGCATACCTGACCTTTTCCTGTTACTGAATGTTTGCCTTGCTGAAATCTCTATGATGCTGTCTGTTCTATCTTCGTCCTAATAATTAATGTGGGATCTATCATCATTTTGCCTTCAAAATCCATGCTTTGATCTCAAAGCAAATTCAGTCCTTGGTCTTTCCCCTTTAAGCATAAGGGTTTCTATCTGTTGGAGCGAAGGATTCATTCTTATCCAGAGGTCCACCTGAATCTCTTAAAGAGCTTTTACAGGCTAGGTGGTGGCTCACGCCTGTAATCTCAACACTTTGGGAGGCTGAGGTGGGAGGATCACTTGAGGCCAGGGTTTAAGAGACCAACCTGGGCAACACAGTGAGATGCCCCATCACCACCAAAGTCTCTTTAAAAAAAAAAAAAAAAAGAACTTTTGCAGAGAGATTCCTAGGTCCTACCCCAAGTATTAAAAGAGAGGCACCAGCAGAGCTGTTTTGAAAAAGGTTTCAGATGATTCTAATTCACCCCCTGTGAAGAAATGTGCTGTAGAGGAACATATATCCCAGAGAAACATTCTCTAAACACATTCACGTTACCAAAAACTGAGAAACCAAGAGGACAAACTTATTAGGAAATGATACAGTACTAGAGTTAGTAAGAAGAAAACAAAAAAGAAAAGCCACTTCCAAAGGATATCAGACCACATTAAAGCAAAAAGTATTTTGGTCACTTTTATATTTTGTGGGAGCAAATGGATTTGTCGGTAATCCTCCACAATTATCATCTACAACTATCATTTGTATAATCCTCACAATTATGAACTGCCATCTTGTGAGGCTCAATCTTTCCTAATTTGTGGTTTTGTGTATATAACAATAGACTGACATCATCAATCTATCAAGTTAATGAATTTTAGGGTGGGATTTGATATCAGACAGGTTTTATTTCTTTTTTTTTTTTTTTTTTTTTTCCTGAGACGGAGTCTCGCTCTGTCGCCCAGGCTGGAGAGCAGTGGCCGGATCTCAGCTCACTGCAAGCTCCGCCTCCCGGATTTATGCCATTCTCCTGCCTCAGCCTCCCGAGTAGCTGGGACTACAGGCGCCCGCCACCTCGCCCGGCTATTTTTTTGTATTTTTTTTAGTAGAGACGGGGTTTCACCATGTAGCCAGGATGGTCTCGATCTCCTGACCTCGTGATCCGCCCGTCTGGGCCTCCCAAAGTGCTGGGATTACAGGCTTGAGCCACTGCGCCCGGCCGGTTTTATTTCTTAAAACCTTAGAGAATGACAACAAAGATCTAGTATCCTTGTTTAGTTGTCAAAAGGTTTCCAAGCACTTTTCAGTCCTATGGTAGAGTTGTCCAGAGGTGCAGTCCCCATCTTACTCCAAGCCCAACATCACAGAAACTTTCTGGGGCATTTAAGCAAGGGTCTGCAAAGCCTCCTCTAAGTCTCTGCTTAGACATTGTGTTCCCCTGCTCCCCAGGGGGCAGCACGGTCCTGGTGCTCTGGAGACTGTGGTCCCCACCCCCACCCTCATGCTGTGTAAAACACGAAAGTAACCAGGGGCTGGGCATAGCAGGACAAGGGGGTGCTGGACTCAGAAGTTCAGCATTTTGCACATCACGTCCACTGGGAAGGATTCTTGGAGGTGACTTTATTTACGTGTGGCATTGTCAACACATGTCACCAGCACTAGCCAGAATCCTCTCCAGAGCTGAGTCAACCCAGAAAGGACATAGAGAAGAGGGAAAGAAATGTAAGAACTTTCCAATTCTCTTTAGCACTGCCCTAAACATTGTAAACAAAAACACCCTTATTCTTATGTAATACTGCAGTTCAATTATTTATTCACAGTGGGAGAAAGGGGGAGATGGTGCATGGAGAGAAGGATTTAGAGAGGAAGAAAATGAAGCTGGGCACCATGGCTCACACCTGTAATCCCAGCACTTCGGGAGGCTGAGGTGGACAGATCACCTGAGGTCAGAAGGTTGAGATCAGCCTGGCCAACATGGTGAAACCCTATCTCTACCAAAAAAAGTACAAAAATTAGCTGGGCATGGTTGCGGGCGCCTATAATCCCAGCTACTCAAGAGGCTGAGGCACGAGAATCGCTTGAACCTGGGAGGCAGAGGTTGCAGTGAGCCGAGATCACACCACTGTACTCCAGCCTGGGCGACAGAGCAAGACTGTCTCAAAAAAAAACAAAATGAAAGAGAACACCAAGGCACAAGCAAAAAAAAAAAAAACAACAACAACAACAACAGGTTAAGGATGGCAGAGAATCCTAGAATAAGTGCACCAACTACTGATGGTCTTCTTGTCATCACTAAGTCTCCAGGCACCCTCCTGATTGCTCCTGAAAGTAAGCACGGTAAAAAGTGGGGTTGGACAGACATGGCTGGGTTCTCTCCTGCACCATGCACTGGTTTAGCCACAGCTAATGACAGTGGAGGGAGAACTGGTCCTATTTTTTCACATATCTCAACTTGGAACAATTTACTTGGGCTTCAGAAATACTCATTAATACACTGGCCCAAAACACACTTACATGTCTACTCTGTCCCGGCACTGTGCTAAGCACCAGGGAACCAACAAAGAACAAGACACATAAGGCCCCTGCCCACAACGGGGCTTACATGAGGGAGGGAGGGATAGAGAGAGAGAGAAATGGACAGTAAGCAAGTACACACAGCTATGGACGGGCTCACTGTCATGAGGGAAACAAGGGTGACTGGTGTGGTGGAGTGGGTATTTCTAAGGAGGCCACACTGAACTGACCTGAGATCTGAGGTGTGAGAAGCCACAGCAGCCCCACAGGAGCACAGGGCCATGAGGAAGGAACAAGTGTGATGCCTTCAAGGAACTGAGAGGCCTGTCTCACTGGAACAGGGCAATTGAGGAAAAGGAAGAGAACAGCATGAGATTGCTGGGTGGACTGGGGTTCACAGAAAGGACTGGGCCAAAGATACCAATTCACAAGTCCTCAACATGTTGATGATGTTTACAGCTCACAAACTGGGTTCGATCCCCTGGGGACAGAAGAGGAACCAGCACAGGCCTTAAAATGCCCTTTCTTACTGTGACTGTCGAAACAGTAAGAAAGCTTTCTGGCCGGATGCGGTGGCTCATGCCTGTAATCCCAGCACTTTGGGAAGCCAAGGCAGGTGGATCACGAGGTCAGGAGATGGAGACCATCCTGGCTAACACAATGAAACCCCATCTCTACTAAAAATACAAAAAATGAGCCGGGCATGGTGGCAGGCACCTGTAGTCCCAGCTACTCGGGAGGCTGAGCAGGAGAATGGTGTGAACCAAGGAGGCAGAGCTTGCAGTGAGCGAAATCGCACCACTGCACTCCAGCCTGGGCAAGAGAGCGAGACTCAATCTCAAAAAAAAAAGAAAAGAAAGCTTTCTACAGGGCACCCTCGCATACACTCCCAAAACAAACATTATCCACAGCAATACTCCCTCTCACAACTGGGCAATGCTTATTAATATTGTCCACTCTATTTCATTTGAAAAAGCAATCAACATGCTAACATTTCATGCCCCACTAGAAGTTCACAAGCCACAACTTGAAAAACTAGTTTAAGTTCAGGCAGCAAGAAGAGGGCCCAGGCCGGAAGATGAGGTGAGGCAGGCACCACTGCCAGGAAGGAGAGTGGCATTCCCTAATAATGCTGCTAAGTAGCCATTAGATTTGGCAATATGGAACCTGTTGGTGACAAAAACAAGAACAGTTTCAGAGTGATGGGGGGGATAGGTGTCAGATTGGAGCATGTGAAGAATGAGCAGAAGCAGGAGAGAGAAGTGGTTGAGAATGAAACAAGAGGTTTAAACCGACTTTATCTATGAAGTTTCCTTTATTTAAAACCCAGGAAGAAGAGTATTGATGTTATGAACCTCTTGAGAAGACATAACAGCATTTCTGTGGTATTTCAGCCAAAAACTCATAACCTCAATTGGGAGAAAACACTAGACAAGCTGAAATTGAGGAGACATTTCCAAGATAACGGATCACTACTCTTCACAAGTATAAACATTATAAATAACAAAAGAATTGTTACAGGCTGAAAAAGACTAAAAAGAAATAGCCAATGCAATGTTGAGATCTAACTCAATCTTGAGACAGAACAAAAGAAAATATGCACAGAAAACTTCTGAAATTCAATTCAGTTCATAGTTTAGTTGTTATTACAGTTATTATTATTATTTTTTTTTTTTGGCAATGGAGTTTCACTCTGTCGCCAGTTGCCCAGGCTGGAGTGCAGCGGCGAGATCTCAGCTCACTGCAGCCTCCACCTCCCAGGTTCATGCTATTCTCCTGCCTCAGCCTCCCAAGTAGCTGGGACTATAGGCATTCGCTACCAAGCCGAGCTTATTTTTGTATTTTTAGTAAAAACAGGGTTTCACTCTGTTGGCCAAGCTGGTCTCAAACTCCTGACCTCAAGTGATCAGCCCACCTCAGCCTCCCAAA